AAAATCATATAGATATGATCGCAGTAAAAGCAAACAGAATACTTGGTCAAATAAAACATTGTTTTGTATACTTAGATAAAGACCTAATGAAATTGCTGTATTGTTCGTTAGTTCGACCCCACTTTGAATTTGCTTCACCAATTTAGGATCCTTATTATAAAAGAGGCATCAATAAAATAATGCAAGTACAATGAAGAGCAACAAGAATGTTTAAAAAGTATGAAATATGAGGAGCGAATAAAAGGTATGAAATATGAGGAACGAATAAAAGGTATGAAATATGAGGAACGAATAAAAGGTATGAAATATGAGGAACGAATAAAAGGTATGAAATATGAGGAGCGAATAAAAGAATTTGAATTGACGTCATTAGAAAAACAAAGAGAACAGAGTGATATAATATGATAAATTAAAAAGAATATGATAAATTAAAAATAATATTCATGAAGTAAATTGGAGATACCCTCCAATAAACAAAATTAAAAATTCATAATCAAAATCTAAAATTAAAAGTTCATAGTCAATGGCTGCACAAACAAAATGTTCGTATTTCGGAAACATTACTTTAGGATTGTTAATAAATGGAACAGTTGTTAACGTTGTTTATTTTTAAAAGTATTTAAATTAACAGAGTTGACGTTGTTAATTCTGTCACTTTAAATACTTTTAAAAATAAACTCGAGGAACATGAGAAGGGCAATTCTAAAGAAAAATTACATGTTATTATTTTGTTATATCAAATTTAATTTTAAAATTTTTCATTTCACTGTTAAAGTTATGCCACTACAGTTGAGTTAACATTACTTATTTATTATTTATAAAGCAAGATAACAATTAACAGGTGACTTAAAAGATTGCAAATTATATGAATCAGTAAAACAAGGAAAGGAAGTGAATCCAAAAAAACTGATTTTTAAATAAAAAAACTAGCCAAAAAAGAATTTCTGGAGCACTTGGGAACAGTCACAGTAAAAAGATGAGACTTAATTGAATGATGAGTAACATGATAATGAATTTTAGTAGATGTCACAAGAGACACTAGCTCTTTAGAGCTGTGTTCATTATAGTATTTATAGAAAAGGGAAAGAGAAGTAACACTACGGCAATGTGATGATGGTTGAAGGTTGGCTGAAAGAGCAGGTCCAACTATGATTACAATACATTTTTGCATCTTGTCTAAAAGGGGCATCATTTAAAGATTGGCTCCAGATATGGCAGCAGTATTCCATAAAAGGGCGGATTAGAGATTTATAGAGATAAAGAATAGAATCCGGAGTAAGAGTGGTGAGCATAATAAAAGGATGCAATCTTAGTTAATGCTAATTTAGGAATTAATCAAAAGTAAGAGTTAATCCTAAAAGACAAAGGGTGGACTCATCAAGTACATTACCATATATAAATATTGGGAGATATAGATTATTGTGATAACAATCAGCTGAGAAAATTGAGTTTTATCTGAGATTCACCAGCCACTGAGAGCCCCATGCTGTAGCAGAAGTTAAAATCCTTTTAAAATAAAATAATTAAATAATAAATAGAAAAGTTTTTAGCAAACAATTCAGCTTTGTCTTTAGGTGAGGTAACAAAATCTGAACCATGCGAGAGAGGAAGAATAACAGATACTTACTAAAGACACTGTTAAAGATTCTTTAGAAGTCTTACTAAAGACACTGTTAAAGATTCTTCAGAAGTCTTACTAAAGACACTGTTAAAGATTCTTCAGAAGTCTTACTAAAGACACTGTTAAAGATTCTTCAGAAGTTTTGGGAGCCTAATTTTTTTTTTTGCATGTTATTGAAGCTATAATTTAAATAGATAAATTGTTTTATTTTTTTGTAATTGCCAATTATCATAAGTATTTTTAGTCCAACTTTTCTGTTTAATTGTGGAATCGCAAGGCCTGTTGTAAAGCCTTAGGTTCTCGTATCTGAGAAACTTATAATAATTTTAAGTTAGTAAAGCACATAATAATACAAACTGACTATCATTGTTACATCATAATTAACTAGAGTTTAATTTTATTTTTTAGCATTTTTTTAAAAATATAAAGTATAATATATAATTATATATGCATTATATAGTGCTAGAACACTTGGTAGTCAAAAAAAACTTCAACAATTAGAGGTTCAAATATCAAATTCGCTCTACCCCTCTGGAAGTACCATGTTCATCCTTTTTCTCAGTGCAACATGTAAGTTAAGTTAGTGTGTTTTACAAATAGAGTGCTCTTAAATATTTTTAAATAGCAGAGCAATAACAAATTAGTAAAAACACTTATCTAAATATCTTCTACAGTCTGTTTCCCCTCAGCAGCTTTATCAGGAAACTTGAGTCATTGAGTCTTCCTGATGAACCTGCTGAAGGTGAAACATTTGTTTTATACAAACAATATATTCAGATAAAAGTTTATATACATATATATATATATATATATATATATATATATATATATATATATATATATATATATATATATATATATATATATATATATATATATACATATATATATATATATATATATATATATATATATATATATATATATATATATATATATATATATATATATATATATATATATAATATATATATTTGTTTTATACAAACAATATATTCAGATAAAAGTTTATATACATACATACATATATATATACATATATATATATATATATATATATATATATATATATATATATATATATATATATATATATATATATATATATATAATATATATATTTGTTTTATACAAACAATATATTCAGATAAAAGTTTATATACATACATACATATATATATACATATATATATATATATATATATATATATATATATATATATATATATATATATATATATATATATATATATATATATATACATATATATATATATATATATATATATATATATATATATATATATATATATATATATATGTATATATATATATATATATGTATATATATATATATATATATATATATATATATATATATATGTATATATATATACATATATATATAACAAATTGAATATATATATATATATATATATATATATATATATATATATATATATATATATATATATATATATATATATATATATATATATATATATATATATATATGTATATATATATGTATATATATATGTATATATATATGTATATATATATATATATATATATATATATATATATATATATATATATATATATATATATATATATATATATATATATATATGTATATATATATGTATATATATATGTATATATATATGTATATATATATATATATATATATATATATATATATATATATATATATATATATATATATATATATATATATATATATATATATATATGTATATGTATATATACACATATATATATATATAACAAATTGAATATATATATATATATATATATTCAATTTGTTTTAAATAAATTTAAATAAAATATATTGCGTTAATTTTAGAGATGTAAAAAAAAAAAGGTGAAAAAGTAGAAAAATAAAATGAATTAAAATGAAATAATTTTAAATTAAGTGTGTTACCTGATTTTTGTAAATGTATGTAATGTAATCTACCTGACTTATTTAAACTTTTTGATCGTAAATAACATTGCTGTATTTGTAAACACCTAATGAAATCAAATAAACAATTTTATTTAATAAAATAAATTAATGGTAGATTTCAAAACTTAATAACATAATAATTGCAATAAAATTTCAAGTAAGAAACATTGAGACATTTGAAAAGAGTTTTATTAACTTTTAAATGTCTTAATGACCATTATTATAACATGCTTTGCATGTTAATGACCTTGCTTTGCATATTACAAATGACCTTGCTATGCATGTTACAAATGACCTTGCTTTGCATGTTACAAATGACCTTGCTATGCATGTTATAAATGACCTTGCTTTGCATGTTACAAATGACTTTGCTATGCATGTTACAAATGAATTTAAGAAAAAATGAAAAATTGAATTGAAAAAAAAGTAATGTTTTTTTTTAATGCAATTCTTTGAGTGCACTGTAAAATTTCACTTTAAGGTATTTAAAACTTTCATAATCAGTATCTTTCACAAAGAATAAGAAAAACAAATTAACTTTGTGATTAAAAAAGTAAAATTTAAAAAAAAAATTATATTTTAGTTACTTTAATAAAATAATAGTATAAAAATATACTAAAATAGAATTTGAAAAGTTCATAAAACTTTCTAGAAAATGCCAAGGTGCTTAAAAATATTAAACAAAAAAAAAAAAAAAGCATCTTCCCACCATATTGTTTTAATATGGTGGAAACAAATGTTTAGGGTCTTTAAAATAACTTTGTATTCATTAAAGTCTTTCATTTCACAAAGTTCACCTTCCTGCTCTTTGTGAGACTAATTTAAATTTGGCTGTTTCATCTTTAATATTTATTGTTGATGGATATTATATTTTGTTTAATCAAAACTTCAATAATCACATGATTGGTCTGGGCATACACTTATGTATTACTTATTTCATATAAAATTCTTTGAATAATCAATGACCTTTTTATTGATCTTTGTTGTTCTGCTTTTTCTCAAGACACTATTTAATGTTATTTTTGATTGAATATATAGCCAAGTCCTTTTTTCTTTATCAAGTAGCCATTATTGTTGTTACCTTAATCCTCATTATACTGAATGAATTTTGTTGTTAATTTAATCCTCATTACACTAAATGGCATTGCATTAGTACCACTGACCCTGAAGGCTCTAAAGCTCAAAATTTGTGTTTTTCTCAATCTCTTACCCTTGTTGTTAACTGTGTGACTCTTTGCATACAAGCCTAATCACTTATCTTCTCTTTTTGATGTCTTGTCTTGATTATGCAGTTTGACAAAAAGTTCAACAAGGTATTACAGTTTCCCTTAAAAATAAAAAATAAAATTTTTTTTTTTAATTCTTTTTTTAATCTCATATTGTTTCTTTTTACTATTTTTTTTTTTTTAGCAAAATGTGAAAAAAGTTTTTTACTAACTGAAAATACTTCAGTCAATATACAAAGTCCAAACTTTCCAATGACATTTTATCCTGGATGTGCATGTGTTTGGTATGTTTATGGAAAAAGCACAAAACCAATCTTAAAATTAACCCAAAAGTATATTATATTTTTTTTAATGTTTTTTATACATATATATTTTTTAATTTTGGATAATTAGTTTTATAAAATTATATTAATTGTAATTAGTTATCTCATATAAATCTATTTTTATATCAATTTAATCATTACTATCTAATTTTATATAATTTAAAAAAAATGGTATTTTAAAACCATTTTAATGATATATGCAGAATGGGTAGAGCCATTTTACATTTTAACTGAGGCCTGAAACTGTTGCCTTATTTTTTGAATAATGAACAAAAATAAATTTCAAATTAGATGATTTCTTAAGACTCCTTTAGTTATATTCTAACATTCATCCAGTATATTTTAACATGTACTTATATAAAATAATTTTTATGTTAACCTATTAATAGAAGTGAAATAATATGTATATATAACAAAATATTTTTTTAATCCTTTTAACAAATTAAAAAAAAAAGGTGAAAAAATATTTGTAAAAGATATTTTGAGCGTTTTATAATTAAAAACTTTTTTATTTGTAAATTCTTTTATTTGCAAAAAACTTAAATTTACATTATATTTAGTACTTAATTTTGTATTTAAAAAAGTAAAAACATTTTAAAAGAAAAACTATTCATTAAATGTAAGTTAGTTTTTCATACTATGTTGAGTATTTTAGAAAATTTCAATTGGTCTAAATAAAAATCTGATTTTTTTTTATTCACACTTGAAGTCCATTTACGAAATTGTTTGTAAAAGTCTATGCAGATCATAAATTTTTTACGCAGATCATAAACTTTTTCAAAAACTATTTCTCATTAATTTTCCAATCATTGTGAATGGATATTAAAGTCCAAGTTTAAAATATAACTTGATAAAATATTTGCTATATACTGTTCTATTCTAATGTATTTGAATTTAACTTCAGAGTTTGCTTATAATTATGAAATACCATATAAAATTATCTACTAAACAAAAATAACTATGAAATACCAAATCAAAAAAGCTATTATAACTTAAAAAAGATTTTGATGAACATTATTTATGTTCAAATCAAAAAATATGCGTTGCCTAAAATATTTTTATTTGTAAAATTAAAAATTACTTTTTTATTATTCAATAATGGTCTTATTTCTTATATAAGATCGTATAATAAAAAGCAATTTTACTTATAACATTAGATCTTTTGCAACTTTATGTGTGCAAAAAATCTTCACACATCTAGATAATTCTTTATGCATAAGTTGTTAAAAATTCAGTTAATTCAAAAAATTCAATGCATTCTCAATTTCACTGTTGAGTTTCTTAAAGTCTTGTTTCAAGCTTGTAGTTACTGTTCTAGTTAAGTAAACTAGATTTATCAATTAATTTTAATCAAAACAATTTGATTAAAATTAATTGATAAAAATTAAATCAACAATTGTTGGGGCATCATTTGTAGCAATGCTAACAACCTTGTTTTTGGTACTTTAACTAGAACTGTTAAATTTTATTTTTTTCTATAATTTGAATTAAATGGTTATTACTTAGAAAAATGTATATATCACCATCGTTATCATCATCATCATCATCATCATCATCATCATCATCATCATCATCATCATCATCATCGTCATCATCATCATCATCATCATCATCATCATCATCATTATCAAGTTTTAGCCTTCTTTTTTATGCTGTTTCTCTGATATAAGTTTCTTAAGCATTTTCTTTCCTTAACTAAAGCTTGATCATAGTGTGAAAACTTGGAGAGAGTGTATTACATATGGTAATAAACTCTCTCCAAGTTTTCTTACTTCTATCTCTACTATTTTCTCCTAAATCTGCTACCTCTCTACATGCTGGTGCCCAAATGACTATAATCTTTTCTGACAAACTTTGTTCGATACAGCATTTTTTCTAATATCTTATATAATCTAGTATTATGACTCCTTTTCTTGTCTTGTTAGAATCATACATCTGATCATCATCTTCTCTATTTGATAATACTACACCATATAAATACTAAAGTTATACAAACATGTAAAGGTATTGTATGCGAGCATCTGAATAAATAGTAAACATTTATGTTTATATCCATATATATTCATAATATGTAAGCATAAAAATGCCTCTCAACTAATCTCCTGGATCCGAAAGGTATGAAAGTTTTTATTCCTTCTCCCTGTTCATGATTTTAATCTTCTTATTTGTTCTCTATTGAGTATAAATGTATTTTTATTATTGCAAGGTTCTATCTTTGCTTCTGTATTGTTTCTTTATCTTCAATTAAAAAAAAAAAAAAATTATTTAATAAATTAAATAAATAATGAACTTACATCTCAAGTGGCTTTATTTGCTGATGACTCAATTTTAAACTTTTGTCTTAACAAAAAGTCTTCACTTTTTGATCGCTTAGGCAGTAGATCTTTAATCTGATCTCTTTTCTGTAACAGCTTGGAGCTTGCAGTGGAGCTTGCAGTGGAGCTTGCAGTGGAGCTTGCAGTGGAGCTTGCAGTGGCGTTTGAGTTTTAACTTCAATAAAACTCATTGATTTATTGCAAACAACTATAGCATTATTTTTGACATTCCTATATTGACAAATAACAACTCTCTCATTTTTAAATTAGGTTCAAAAGCACATTGTAAATGTAGTTAATCCTGCTTGAGCCACTCTCGCATCGTTATACGGTTGCAACTCTTGCATTTTCTACAAATGGTTGCTGCTCAAACAAACATCTCATCGTTTGATCAACCAAAACTCGTTCTTGCTTGGCTTTTCAATTTAGCAAAGTTGCATCTTTTTATATCACTATGTAAAAAGTAGTAAATGTATACATAAATTAATAATATATTAAGTATTATAAATTTTTTTCCTAGCCCCGGCTATTTACCCTTGCAAAATCTCATAACTTTGCCGGGGCTGAATTTGTTAAAAATCCCATTTTTAGCCATGACCCAGTCACTTACTGGTGGAGGTACCTTCTAACTTCATTTGGGGCAAAGTTTAGACTTAATTAGATAACATCTAGAGCTAGGTTTTATTTAAAGTACAAAAATCTTTTTATTATTATTATTATTATTATTATTATTATTATTATTATTATTATTATTAATTTTACCTCCCTAAGGCTTCAGAGTCTACTACAGTTCAGGAGGCTATACTTTTTTTTTTTGCAAATAAAAATTCTTTTTTTTTATTAAATATAGTTTTGTCATTTTGGTATCAAACTGACAGCCCTCCTCCATTGTTATTAAAAATATAGTTGTCAAATAAGACATTTAAAGTTCTCCTTAAAGGGATCCAAAATTTCCAACACATGTTGTGTTCATATTAAAGATAATGTTAAAAAAAAAGGTTTGAACCAAGTTTTTTTGATTAAAAATAAACAATGAATGCATACCAAGGAAAACTAATCTTGTTGTTTTAGCCAAAGCTCGCCTTCTCCATTTTTTTCATTATCTCAGAGTCTTTAAATTATACGTCGGCTTCCTGGGGAAGGGGACAGAGGTACAAGGTATTGCATTGTCTTTTTGGTATTGCAAGCTCTTTTTTAGATATTGCAAGGCTGGGCCCAGCCTTGCAATACCTAAAATAGAACTTGCAATACCTAATGTGATAACACTTAAATAATGTGATAACACTAAAAAAGACCTTGCAATAGCTAATGTGATAACACTTGAAACAGTTTGAATTCTGCTACCTTTGATGAATAAATAATTTTAAAAAAATGCAAAAATATGCATCAAAGGACTAGACCGAGCTGTCAAGTCTAAGTGAAATAAGGAAAAATTTAGGAAAAGAAAAAGGATAAAATAATTAAAAATATATATTGAACAGATGTTCAGAACAAAAACAAAGATACTATAGTAAAGCTTGTAGTAAAAAATAATAATAATAATTTGGGCATTGCGCATGTAAAAGAAATGTAACAAAAACAAAACAGGACACATACAAGTAACCATAGTAAAAAGTAAACCATAGTAAAAAGTAAAAACAGGACACAAACAAGTAACCATAAACCTACATTAAATACAAATAATTAACATGCATTAAATAAAAATACATATGTATAAATATATCAGTATTCAAAATGAATTAATATATATTCATAGGAGGCATAAGATAAAGAAAAAACATTAATGCTTTTGTGTAATCATAATTTATGTAGTGGTGGTAGTAACTTCTCCTCAGAATCGTGTTTATTATTACTGGCATTTTGAAGAGGCTCAGTACCAATACCTAGTTTACCCTGTCAGATAAACATCATCGCTATTTATGCTTTACCCCACGATTTACGTTTACTCCATACTGCAGTAAAAAAGGACTTCACTACAAAAATTGCCAAAACCCTAACCTCACCCAAATTTGTAAGGCACTAATATTTTTGAAGAAATAATATGGATAGTGAGAGTAGTGAATAAATTACCTAATAATATAGTAAATTTAAAATAAAATAAAATATATATAAGATAATAAAATAAATATATAAAATAAAATATAAATGAAGTTTTTAAACAGAAATAACAAAAAACAATAAACTAAAATGTAAATGATAATATCAAGTAATAAAAATAATTCTTATAAAAAAACCAATATAACCACAAAATACTTAACAACACTACCGATGTAATAAATGTTGTTAGATAAAAATATATTAAAATATACAACAAGTGGCTAAAATTGATACTTCTAGGATAATTAAACTCAAGCCGATTAAGTATAGAAATATATATGAAATTATAAAAACAAAATCATATAACTTCAAACGCCACCATAGATACCTAGATCGAATGTTGCTAACCAATTAAAAAACAGGTTTTAAAAGAACAAGATAACAACGAAAACAGTAACCAAACCATTGCAACATAAAACGTCAAAAATTGCGTAGGTGGGAAAAAAATATATAGGTATAGAAAATGACAACCCAAAAACCAATATTTTTACATATATATAGACACACACGCATACACACATATATGTAAAGAATGCCAAAGTAACAATGCAGTCATAGCTCCCTAGTCTATCACTAATTATTATCGCATAATATTTTCAACAAAAAAATAATATGATACTTATATACATACATAATTATAGATACACACACATACCAATGTTTGTCGAAAAAAGTTTTGAATGTCCGAGGACAATTATACATAAGTTACATAGATGAGTTTATTCTGGGAATTCCCGGAATTCTGGAAATTCACATAAAACCCTTTTTATTGTCCAGAAAGTTTCAGATGTTTTTTGTTATTAATTTTTAAAAAAAATTATATGTTTTTACATTAAATTATAAATACGACAACTTTTGCATTTAAACAAATATGTTTTCTATAATTAAATTTTCTTGAGGTTAATTTTCATAACAATTATTTTTTCGTTTTTTTTGCTTTTTAATTCTTTCAAATTAACTTTTTCTTATATTAGAAATTCCTTTTTGTAAAAAGTTAAATAATCTAAATTCTGTTTTAAAAGTTTACAAAAGTATATGTTGTCAGTTAATACGATAAATTTTTAATAAAATAAATTTCCGGGATGTTCCGTAAATTTCATAGAAAAAAAATTTCTGGGATTTTCATTAAGTCAAATACTCATCTATGAAGTTAGCTCAGATATGTACCAGAAACAAAAGCACTCTCCCGCGGAAACAGCAATTATGTATGTGATCGTATCTGTTCATTATAGTTATATTACTAGAAATCAGTGTGAAAACTCCTAATCCTGAAACACATCTAGCCAACCCATCCATACTACAAATGACCTTTGTAGTATGGATGGGTTAGAACCAGAAGATAATATAAATCCTATGAATGGATGTAGCATCCATTCATAGGATTTATATTATCTTCTGGTTCTAAAAGCTAGCTCAGATATATTACACTTAAACAATGTGATAACACTAAAAAAGACCTTGCAATACCTAATGTGATAACACTTTTTTTAACTTAGTAGATTAAAAAAATTGTTAAAGAGATTAAATCTTACATGGTTCCATAAAGATTTGAAATAAAACATGAAAATATGGCTTTTATACTTTGGCATTTTTATTGGCATTTGTCAGGGCAGAATTGAATGGAATTTTACAATCAAACTTTTGGCATTTAACATGTAGAAAGTTCTTGCAACCCTGTAATGAAAAATGTAGAACCTACTTGTTTGGGATGTATATAATGAAAGTATTTTACTTACAATCTAGAATCTACCTGTTTGAGAATGATATAATGAATTGTATTATATACAATGTAGAACCTATCTGTTTGAGATGCATTTAATAAAAGTGTATTAGGCATTGACAACATTGACCAATAGCTAATCAAAATTACATTGCTATTACTTGTTTTATCTTAACTTTGTGATTTATATATGTTTCTGCTATATAAATACCAACCTGACAACCCAAACACCTGACACTTCTTTTTCTGCATCTAACCCAAATTTGTAGCATTAGAGTTTAACTTAACGATGTTGTGAGAATTCAACTTTCAATATTTCATTGTTGAAATGTTTTACTACTGTTATTTTTTATTATTATAAATTATATATTGTTCATGTCATTTATGTTTTTATGGTTAAATTTATAATATTATTCATTTAGCTTTAAAATTTTTTGTTTTTGTTAATTAAAACTTTCTTATAATATAAAAAAAGTCAGATAGAGTCCTATAATTCTCATGTGGCAAATTGTTATATCTATAAATTTTAGAACTGCCGTTTTTCCAGCAAGTCTTTTGCAGGCAACCTATATCTAGTCTTCTACCTTCCATTTCAACAGTTTCAAGGTTGCCTGAACCATCTTTTAAAAACAATGCATCCACGCATTATGCACATTTATAATCTTCGAGTAATTAGGCACATGTTACTTCCAGTAATTTGTGCTTCTTTAGCAATAATTTGTTTATCTCAAAAAAGTTTTTAGTTTTTGGTTGATTGTGTTACTTTAATAACTAGCAAATTCTTGTTACTTTAATAACTCCTGAAAATCTAATCTGAATCAATACAAGTAAGTCAGTAATAGGAACTATTCTTTAAATGATATTAAGACAGGAATGTTAAGTAAAATATATTTTTGGTTATTTTATTAATCAAGAATTTAGTTACGCTCCTAAATCATTGCGATTTTTTGACAAATTTGTCCTGTTATTTCCCTTTTTAGAACATATATATGAATATATATCTGAATATATATCTACATATCTGTGAAAAAGTATGTGGACAACAAAATTTTTTTTTTTTTTTTTACATAAAACTAGTTTAAATCACAGGCTTTTAAATTATAAATGACATTTACCATTTTTCAACACTTGTACTGTTCATAGTTGCAAATTAATCTTAAAGAGTTCTTGATAAAGAATTTTTACAATGTCCTGTAGCTATTGCAGCATGTTCAAAATTAATATTTGGT